CGGGACAGTTTTCTATAAATACGTGTTTCAGTCCAAATCTAGGATTACTTCTCCAGATCTTCTTCTTGGGTTCTAGGGTTTATATCTGGGGATATTTTGCTAGTTTTCTTTGATGTTTTGATTGAGTATTCAACTCATGATTTAAAGAGTATACATCAAAGGATTATTTGTTTGTTCTACATAAAAGAGAGAGTTATTCTTCGGTGGATTCTGAAGAATTCGAGCCTGAAGCTTTGGTGGATTCTGGAGTGGCTCATCGTCAAGACAATTCCGAGGTGAAGACAGGGTTGGAAGAGACACATAGAGGTTGGTTCAATTCAGGCGTAGATTCGCTAGGTAATTGAGAGTATACCTGTGTAATTCCTTTATATCTTCTTAGTGGATTGGTTTGTGGCTGTTGCCCGTGGTTTTTTATCACAATTGGAGGTGTCCAATTGTGGTTTTTTCACGTAAAATCGTTGTGTCGATTTGTCTTGATTGTTTGATTGGGATTGTTGTTTACTACTTAAAATTGATAAATAATCACAAATCAACATCTAAGGGATTTCTAGATTTTTCATATGGTTTGGGGAATATTTTAAAAAAAAAAGTGAAAAAAGTTATCACATTACTCTATATGTTTTTTATATATTTTTATATAAAAAATTAAAAAATTACTAAAATAATTTATTTCTAAATGAGAAGTAAGTTTGCATAAGGCCAATCATGCAACACCAATCAGCCCAAAACAGAGCGAGAAGACAGAGAACACAATTTTAATTTCATAAAGTTGTGTTCATATCTCAGTGAGGGAAAAGAGAAATAAAAACAACTTATCTATAAATACCCACTTTTTTGCATGCAAAACGAATCAAGTTACGTAAAATTGACTTATTAGAAGTTTATTTGAGATGAGTTTTTGTGGGTGGTGATGTCCGACACATAATTAAATAGAAAATTTAATAGGATAGCAGGTCGCGGAATAGATTAAGTCAACCACCTACTAACAAGAAGATGAGAATACCGCAATAGTTCGTCTACCCAGGGGCACTCCGACGATTAAGTCAATCAAACAATCTCTCAAAGATCTCACACAAGTACACAATGCAGAAGTTAAAGCATACATTACACTCATAGGTTGCCTTACTCTTATAGCTAGTAGTGACCTAGTCCCCTAGAAGTCTTACTTCATAAGTCTCAAGTTCAATGCTTATCTCGGGCTCTCATCGAGATAGAGATAAATTCCTCTAGAGCATTATGCTTGTCTAGACTAAGTGTTTGTGCTTATCTAGGACTCTTGTCCTGTGATACCCCTGTTCCGTATTATGCTAATTTATCCTCCTTATGCATACGATTACGTGCTTGTTATGATTTTGAGTGCCATTTATATGAATATATGTGGTTTTGAATTTCTATCTGTTCACCGTAGGAATATCTGTTTGATTATCTGCTTCGTAATTTGAATTGAAGGCCTTATCGGCCACCGAAACCAAAATTGATTGCGCCATGGTGATTAGCATAATTTTTAGAGCCTACGGTGAAATTTAATTGGAAATTGATTCGGATCAGATTAAATTGATTAAATTGGTGAATTAGTGCTCAATTATTTTATATTAAGATAATGTAACCAAGGGAGCTCTTATTAAGGCCATTACACCCTCATTTTTGTTCCTTTTTGAGTTCAACTTCTAAAATTATGCTCTAGAGAGAGGGAAGGGCCGGATTTAGTAAGAGAAGGGGGCTCAAAGTGGATATTTGCTAAGGAACTTGGTAAATTTGAAGCCTAGCTCAAGAATTAACCATAAATTGGGAAGATTAAGCCTCTTGGTAAGTGATTGATTATAAATTCATGAGTTTGAACTTGTGATTTTGTGAATTAAAGATTAATTGGTAATCAAGAACAAGAGTTGTGCTCTAAGTGATGAATTTGAAGTTGAAATGCACACGCATGTATAGGATCACCATGATTTTGCATAATCAAGCATGTATTAAGTCGAATGTGGAAATATGAGTGTTAGATCATACATGCAAACATGTTTTCGTTGAGTTTCATGAGGATGAACACCATTTGCATCATCCAAGTTGAGAATAAGAGTAATACATCACATGCATGTACAGATTAAAAGAATAGGAGCCTTGATTGCATGAATTTGCATGTTGGAAATGAGTTTGGTGTCAATTGGGACATGCATGTGTTTGATTTATGAAATTAAGCTCCATTATGTTGTAATTTAGTGTTTGTACCATGTTAGTACACGAATATGTGGAGTTTGAGATGAGATTATGAGTTTGGAACCTTTGGAGGTCGGATTTTAGCTCAAGAACACATTTTGGAAAACCCAGAAATTTGATTTCCGCTCGAGCGGGGAAACCGCCGCTCAAGCGTGAATTTTGTGCTCCCAGTATTTTCTGCAGACCATGATATCCGCTCGAGCGGAGAAGTCCACGCTCGAGCGGAGAGCTGTGTAAGATGGACTTCCGCTCGAGCATCCAAGTTCCACGCTCGAGCGTAAAAATGACATAATCAGTATTTTTGCAGACCTCATGGATCCGCTCGAGTGGGTAAGTCCACGCTCGAGCGGGGACCCTATTTCTGAAAATTTTGTGTGATCGTTCTGTGTTTCGTTTTCCGTTCTCTTTCACTTGTAAGCACTCTTAGGCATGCATTAAGCATTGTAATTGAGTTAAAGAGATAAGAATGAAGCCTAAAGAGAAACATGTGAATTAAAGAACGGATTGAATCGTTTGTGACCTATATGTGTTATATGATGTGTAGGGTCAAGCTCCAGGGCAAATCCACAAGCCGACCACTGTGAGTAATATCAATATTTCGAAATTTGTCAATTGTCCAATTGCTTATTTCTTTACAAGTTTGCTAGTTTGAATTATGGACAACCGATTGACATGAATGATTGGGCTAAAGGCCGATTGACATGAATGATTGGGCCGAAGGCCGATTGACATAAATGATTGGGCCAAAAGCCGTTTTGACACAAATGAAAGTTTGACATGCATGAATGGGCCAGAGGCCAGTATGACATGCATGAATGGGTTAGAGGCCAGTTTGATATGAAAGTTTGACATACATGAATGGGCCAGAGGCCAGTTTGACATGCATGAAAGGGCCAGAGACCAGTTTGATATGAAAGTTTGAGAGGCCTGAAGGCCAGTTTGATATGGAAGTTTGAAAAGACCAAAGGCCAGTTTGACATGAATAACAGTTTGACACTAATGAATTGGGCCCGAGGCCGTATGATGTGTTTGGAACCGCAGTTACTTAACTTACATATGTCTATGTATGTATGTATTAGTAGAAATGTAAATTGGGCCCAAGGCCGTTTGACATATATTGTTCCAATGCATATTCTTTATTTAATATTATTCACTGGGCTTTCGCTCACGCTCATTCATGTGTTTGTAGGTGAGCTAAGAGAAGTTCAAACTCAGCCCAGTGAAGTCTGTATGGGACAACTAAGGTTTTGAAGAGTCAGCCCTTGCGTCTTATGTACAAGACACGTCTTCACCCTTCTGCCATTCTCTGTTATTTTGTCATGTTGGCGAGGACTTTGGTGTACGTCTGTATATAGCTTTGTTTTGGCTGACTTAGACTTGAATGATCCTGTCCATATAGAACTTCATGTTACTATACTTTCTGTTGTGAGTTAGTAACATATGTATGTATGGAATGTTATGATGTGCATATAAGCACGGCTCTATGGACAAAGTTTTAAATTGCTTCCGATTTGACCCCTTTACTCTGATGAGTTTTGTCTTATTTGGTTTGAGGCCGTAGGTAATTTCGTGATTACTGGCCGGTTATGGCTTTAACCCATAGGGGCGAGTTCGGGTCGTGACATGTCCCTTATACAAATATCTCGAGATTCCGACATTACTGCACCAAACCTCGGCATTGTCGCAATCACCTCGGCAACATGAGCTGCCCACGTGACACCTTGGCTGACCTCGGCCCGTGGCATCATTGGCAAAATACAACCCCACAAGCTCGTTATGTAAATGAAAAATAAAAATTTATTTGAGATGAGTTCGTTATGTAAATCAAAAATAACATAATCATATTTTAAAATTGTTAAATTTTCAAATCAAATTTGAATAATTTACTATTCAACATAACTTAATTATATATATTATAAAAAATCAAGCTATTCAATCTGCTAAAGTACTTAAAAAACCTATTTAAGATCTACTCGAAACATGTCAAATTTAATTACTTTTTGAAGGCCATTAAGTTTTCAAACAAAATTTGAAAAATCTATTACTCACTCGTTTACCTTTATTTTTCTTTTTCTTTTTATTTTTTTCCCTTTAGAAATTTAAGGTCGAAACGTAACTTATCTATAAAAACCACACCTAAATTAAAAAAAATTAAAAAGTTAACTTTTAACTCTAAAACACTCCTTTCCCCACCCCCAACAATCTCTCTCTCTCTCTCGTACCAGATAGCAAATCAACAAGTCTACAAGGTTTCTGGGTTCCATTTTTTTTCCTGTAAGTTCTCTAGTTCTTCTCTGCATCTTTTAATCGTTTCCTGTGTCTCTAGTCACTGAAAATCTCTACTTTTACTAAAATTTGATTCTTACAAGTTACTTTCATTGTCACCTGCTAATATCATATTATATGAATTCTTATATCATATATTCTCAAATTTTAGTGAACCCTTTTCTTGGTTACATATATAATACATATTAGTCTAACCGAGTTGGTCAAACCAATCATCATACTTTATTGTTAAATATTTTGTGTTTGTATATATAAACATCAAATAGAGAGATCACCATAGGACAGAGTTTTTCTCTAGTCATCAAATTTGATATTGTTGTTGATTGTCCTATTGCCTAGGACCAATACATAGTCTAGTATTTTTATATTTATTTTTTTCTCTTTTATGTGATTTTTTTCTCTCTCTTTTTTCATGGTTTTTGTTCTGTCTGGACTCTGAACTATGGCAAAAGCTTGCTATTTTACATACAGTCCCGATTCGAAGGCTTTTGGGAGACAGGAAAATGGCAAGAATTTCCATGACTTTCATGGTGATTCTTGTAATCTGCTGCTGGGAAAATACCATAGCAGAAGGAAAAACATACATGAAATACAAAAATCCTAAACAAGCATTGAATGTCCGAATCAAGGACTTGATGGGCCGAATGACTCTGGAGGAGAAGATCGGCCAAATGGTGCAGATCGAGCGTGGTGTTGCATCGGCCAAGGTGATGAAGAAGCACTTCATTGGTAAAAACAAACCATTTTAGCATTCTTCATTTCTTCGATGCTCGGTTTTTATATGATTTTTGTGACATTTTTTGTAAATATAATGTGAAATTTCTCTGTTTTTGTAGGGAGTGTGTTGAGTGGCGATGGGAGTGGTCCTGCTAAACGAGCATCAGCTAAGAGGTGGATGAAAATGGTGGATGAGTTTCAAAAGGGATCGCTATCAACTCGCCTTGGGATTCCTATGATTTATGGGATTGATGCTGTTCATGGTCACAATAATGTTTACAAGGCAACAATTTTTCCACACAATGTTGGGCTTGGAGCTACAAGGCAAGTATAATTGTGCATATATGCTAATATGTTTTCAGCAATTTGGTATCTAATGCAATGCGCATCATAGAGGAGTACAAGGCAGCCTGAGACCATCGTAAGGTCTAATAAGACGTAATGGGCTCATTAGATCTTATTAGACATTACGATAATTTTATACCATGCATTTCTCCGTATTAGTATCTCATTCATTTATAAGAGTAAAAATTAACGGTTTAATGTCAAACAAAAGAAATTAAATAGGCTGTGATTAGAGGCACAAACAAGCTTAAAGAAAATTAGAATTAAGACATTTGGATTGAGTTCAGACCCAAATCAAGCGCCCATGAGTGGCTTGACTAGATAGTTTAAGTGAAAGGTTACAAACTCACCTTATTGGTCGAAAATACTGTACGAAAACTTTTGTGCCGTGGAAATACAGTGTCATTCGATCATTGTAACACACTACACTGCAAGAAAAAATAGCAAATTATTCATTAGTCGATTTAAAGAAGAAAAGAAAAAAAAAAAAACATATGTTTCGCTTGAGTTCACATTGTTTCAATTTCCTTCCAGATTAATCATGAGAGAGAAATTAAAGGACAAAAAGTCAGAAATGTTGAAATTATTACTTCATCCACCTGTAATTGTTGCTTCAATCTCAATTTTTTAAAAATAATAATAATAATAAGATTTGCTGATTGAATTCTTTGTTGTCAAGCAGGGACCCTATACTAGTCAAGAAAATTGGAGCTGCCACTGCTCTAGAAGTTAGGGCAACAGGCATCCATTATGCTTTTGCACCATGTATTGCGGTAATTAACTAAATCATATATATATTAGCTAATTTTCTTGATTTTTAAAACTACTTCGAGTTGGAAACAAGAAATAAGATAGTAATGCCAAGTAAATACAGGTATGTAGAGATCCAAGATGGGGTCGGTGCTATGAAAGCTACAGTGAAGATCACAAAATTGTACAAGCAATGACTGAGATTATACCAGGATTACAAGGAGACATCCCTTCTAATTCTCGCAAAGGTGTCCCATTTGTCGCTAACAAGTAAGAGTTTTTGTTTTTTTCAAATGTGGGACTAATTTCTAGTTTAAAACGTAATCTAGTGATAAGTCTGGTGAAATCCAAACGTTGCATAATGGTTTAGTTATCACCAAATTAAATTTAGCAAAAAAAAGTGTGATGGCTTTATAGTTTATATAAAGTAAGAAAAGAATTCATTAAGAATTAGAAATAACGCTAACTGAAGAAAAAAAAAATGAGGAAAAACCGTTTGAGATAGTGTAGTTATGTGCATTGCAGACCAATTAACATGTCCGCAAAGAAGAGAGATTTGATCCACGTAGAAAGTTATGATATGATATATTAGTACACAATGTCGCTTTCTGCGATTGCTCTAAAAATAAGCTTGTGGGGTACGATATCAAATATTATAATAGATATAATTCAGATCTTCCCTAATACTAATTGGCTTTAGGAGAGATAATAAAACTTGTGACATGATAGAAATGACAAAATTACCTTAAATTTTGAGGTGTAAGAAACTAATATGTGGCATAAATAGTTTAGATTCAGACACCCTGCACACTTAAATCGAATCCGTGGCTTGTATGGGTCAATCACATGATAAATTCAAACCTTTCAATGATCAAGTAACACTACAGCAACAAGTATTAGTCTAAAGGATTTTGTTGTTCTTTAACGGCAGAGAGTAACGTTAGAGAGAAAAAGAAGGGAGAGCGAGTCTAATAATCATTGTTCCATCATAAGTTGTATCCAACCAACATCTTTAAATCAACTAGGTTTTCAAACGGGTATTGAATCATGCCACCATAAGCGCCTAAACCAGACCCAACTTTCCATACATGAGGACAGTGGGCCCATATAATTAGGACAAAGACAATGTTAATTTAATTACAAGGAAATGTATGGTATGATATGAATTGACATGATTTAGGGGTTTGGTCCACACACAAACCAAGCTAGCTTTTGCGTAAAATAGCAGAAAGAAATGCTGTACATGAAACATGTGTGATGATGTCCAATAATGATCATAAATATGTGAAAAAGTGTCCAACTTTTTAGCAATTTCGGTGACAATAACCACAACGAAGTTATAGCTAGGTTTTGGAATTTTTTTATGAGGAATCAAAAGTCAAGTTTGGCTATGTATATATGCCATGGATATTCTCATTCCTCTGTGGTCCAAACCAAACAAAACCCTGTAAACCTCTCTTCCTTTTGTTTTCAAAATTGGTCCCTATTCAACCCACTAGAGTTCTAGTTAGCAAGCCTTCTTTTGGTCCCAATTGGCTTTCTTTCTTTACTAATATATATTGAAGTATCTAACTCAAAATTAATTGGCAATGTCGGAAACACTCTCCCTCACGTGCAGCCTGGTAACACGTGGAGGCGATTGAGTGGTCTAGTTGAGAGAGAGAGAGAGACTGTTGTACATTTGGTCTGAATATGTTTAAGTATCTAATCAACTCAATTAATTGGTAATGTGGAAAACATTCTTCCCTTCCTCATGTACAGCTAGAGAGACTGTTGTACCACATGAAATGATAGGCCACACAAAACCCAACTCTATACCATATTCAAGCATTCAACTCTACGAGTGAAAATGCCCAGACATTATATTAACCAAGTTTTGAGTGGCATAGATTGGCGATGTGAAATTAAATCTACCAAACTCCGTATCATTTTAAATCAAAATTTCCAAACTAGAGCAATTTAACACTTCTCAAACTCAGGCTGTGTAGTGAAGACAGGTTTTCAACAACTTGGGTTTGCAAAATACATTCAAAACAATTTGCATATGAGAAAAGTAAATTTCATAATGGTGTGTTTGGTTAAGTGATTTGATGAGGGATTTGGAAAGGAAAAGAGAAAAGGTGTGTGAAATTAGGTAAAATATAAACATATTTTATTCACATTTCACATACCTTTTCCATTTTTCTTTCCAAATCCTTTCTCAAATCCCCCAACCAAACACAGTATAAGTGAATAACAATTAAAGAAAGAGGCAAAAAGATACATTGAAAAGTATCTATAATTTAAATTTAACTTAAAAATTTATATTTAGAATAAATTTGAGTTACGTATTAATATTTTTGTATTTTTTTTTTATTATTTATACACGAATTGCGTGTCCGTAACATTGGTGGACAAAAAAAAAATGTGGAGCACTGGGCAGCATGCGCAATCTGCCGGTGTTTCCTCTCTAACTAGTGAGCATTGCAGACAAAGCACATGCACTGTTTTTTCATAATTATCATCATCATGAGGGCTTTCCCTTTCTTCACTCTTTAGACAACTGAACAACTTCAATCCCTCAAGCCTTTATTATTTCTTGGGCGGATTATGTAAATGGTCCCTACAATTTATATAATATGTCAATTTAGTTTCTGTTATTTTAATTTATTCAATTTTATTCTTAAATTTAACGGATTCTGTCATTTTAGTCTAATAAAATAACGGTTGTTAAGTTTGATGGACGAAAAGTCTACACAATGTGTCAATTTGATCCGTGTAGTTCACACAATGTGTTAATTTGGTTTTTATTGTTTTAATTTGCTCGATTTTGATAGAGATAAAATTGACACATTGTGTAAACTACATTGACCAAATTAACACATAGTTTAGCTTTCCGTCCACCAAACTTAACAACCGCTATTTATTAGATTCAAATGACAATTTATTAAATTAAGGGATAAAATCGAACAAATTAAAATAATAAAAATTAAATTAACATATCGTATAAATTACAAGTAATATTTGTATAATTTACCTTATTTCTTCTTGAAAACAAAAAATAAAGTTGAAAATCCAACTTATTAAAATTGCTCCTTTTTGACTGTTTTAAATGAATTTTGTAAGGCTATACAGGAATACCCTCTTTCCTTGTTCAAGGGATTGTGTTTGTGTCACATCGGTTAAGGTGATCTACTGCCGTAAATGTAGTCATCTAAGAGGGGAAAGGAAGGGATAAATAATGATTAAACGGAGAAAAGACAAGAAAATGAGATAGGTACTAATATTTTGTTAAAAATCATAATAATATCACAAAATATTACTAGCTTGGTACTATTACTAACCCAATTGTTGAATTCTTGAGTTCAACTACCCTTGGTTTAGTTTAGTAGGATGGGCGATAAGTATCCTTAGCTCAACTATCATTTAAAGACAGATTACTTTGCGGCTCTTGTAATTGTCAGATTCATTATTGAATATTTAATTTAATTTAATTTACTATAAGAAAAATTTATTTATAAATTTCATTTTGAGAAATGATAATTCATTTAATTTTAAGAATTTTTTTATAAACTAATTAGTCCCATTAATTTTAAAAAGGTAACTTTAATATATTATTTAGAAATTAAATTTACAGTTATACCCTTATTATGTTTTCTTTTTTCTTTTCTTTTTTCTTTTGTGTTAAAAATGTAATATATACAATCTATGATAATCAAATTTGGGATGAATTTTTATATGAGAATCTTTTTTATCTGAAAAACATTTCAAAATGAGTACAAAAATGACTTGAAATATAGAATCTTCTAAACATTCCAAAAGGACGTGGAATTCTTCAATCATTTCAAAAGGAGTACAAAAATTCCTTAGTAAACTTTGGACAAATGTATAATTTCAAACTGTAACACTCTCATAAAATACTCAAACGTAATACTTTAATGTAGCACTAAAAAAAAAAAAATTCTTAATGAATTTTTTCCAAACGTAACATTCCAAAAAAATTCTTAGTATAACATTCTAATGTAACACACAGAAAAACTTCTCGGTGTACTTTTTCCAAATGTAACACTCCAAAAAAAGGATATAAGATTCTTCAAACCATTCCAAAAGGAATACAAAAATTCTTTAATAAATTTTGAACAAGTGTATAATTTCAAATTGTGAATGTCATGTTTAAAAAATTACATTAAGGAATTTTTTAGTATTTTTGTATGTGTTATATTGAAGTGTTACATTTAAAATTACATTTATTGGAGTGTTACGTTTCAAAAAAGTACACTAAGGAGTTTTTTTTTTGTGTATTACATTGATTGGAGTATTACATTTGAAAAAAAATACACTAAGGAGTTCTTTTTTTTTTGTATTAAATTGATTAGAGTGTTCCATTTAAGGAAAAAAATACACTAAGAAATTTTTTTGTGTGTTATATTAAAGTGTTACATTTGAAAAAAGTACACTACTGAGTTTTTTTGAAGTGTTACGTTGTTACGTTTGGAAAAAATGCACCAAAGAGCTTTTTAGTATTTTACATTGGATGTTACGGTAGTGTTTTATTAGAGTGTTACAACCGTAATGCAGAATCTATTCTAAGAGGGAAAATCCAAAACCTCTATAATGTGAATTGTCCAAATGTGTAATTTTACATTTAGAGAAACCTACTTTTATCAGTAAAAAATTAAACCCAAACATATAAATGACTACCCTTTTGTATAATTTTCATTTCAATGGAATCTTTAAGTTCATAAGAAAAAATTGAGGATTAAACAATTCACAAGATCACATTTTGAAATTTATTAATGCTTCACACTTAATATAATCATAATAATATTTACAAATTATCTAAAATAAAAGCACATACTAATTTTCTTTTCTTTTTTTTCTTTTTTTTTTCTTGGGTAGAACAAAGGTTGCAGCATGTGCAAAACATTATGTGGGAGATGGTGGAACTACAAAAGGGATCAATGCTAATAACACAGAAACAAGCTGGCATGGATTGCTTAGCACCCACATGGCTCCCTACTACAACTCCATTATTAAGGGTGTCTCTACCATCATGGTCTCCTACTCAAGCTTGAATGGCATGAAAATGCATGCCAACCCTAATCTCATCACTGGCTTCCTCAAGAAAACCCTTCGTTTTCGAGTAATTTCCCTTTTCATGTTTCTTCATATGAGTGAGAATCGCGTCGAGTCCTATTCGTGTTCATCATGTCATCTTATTGGGTTCTTATTTAGATGGTAAACCAACTTGCTTCTAAAAGTGTCAACCTAAATATCACACAATTAACATATACACATGTACACTAGTCCTATTTAAGAGATAATAAAGGCTTCAATCAAATGCTTCAATTAAAGTAAGAATTCTAAAAAATAATAATAATTAAAAACTACAAATAGTATATACATTTCAACATATATTGAGAGAACATAATATTACAGAGTAAGATATATATTTATTTATACAAAAATTTAGATTAAACAGGTTATTTGTGTCAAATTCACGTTAATATATTGTCAGATCATGTCATTTTGTGATCGTATCGAGAACTAGCCAACTCTTAAACTGTTAACTTTAAGTCTGATTCGTATCGAAATTTCCGCCCCTACTTCTGCAAATCTCTCTCCCTATCTCACATATTGAACCAAAAAAAAAAAAAGGAATTAACATCAAATTTGAAATGGTATAACTATTTCAGGGTTTTGTCATCACAGATATGATGGGTATTGACTCGATCACTAGCCCTCCTCATGCCAACTACACATATTCCATCCAAGCTGGAATTCAAGCCGGCATTGACATGGTCAGTTTATCTCTTACAAAAATTCAATGTGCTTGATTCTAGCAGCTTTCATACTTTCCAGTAACCAGATTTTTCTTTTGAGCCAAATTACTGACTTGCGCAATCATGGCCACACTGCAGGTTATGGTCCCCTTCAACTATACCGAGTTCATGGATGGTTTGACCCTCATGGTGAAGGAAAGGATCATCCCCATGAGCCGAATCGACGACGCAGTGAAGAGGATTTTGAGGGTGAAGTTTGTGATGGGTCTATTTGAGAACCCATTCGCAGATCATAGTCTTGCCAATCAGCTTGGAAGTCAGGTCAGTCGGTCTCTGTGATGATGAGTTGTTTCATTTGGAAGAAGAGTTATCTAATTGTGATGTAGTGACACAAACAGGAGCACAGAAAGTTAGCCAGGGAAGCAGTCAGAAAATCACTTGTGTTGCTGAAGAATGGTAAATCCACGGACAAGCCATTGTTGCCTCTTTTGAAGAAGGTGTCAAAAATACTTGTTGCAGGAAGCCATGCAGATAATCTTGGTTACCAGTGTGGTGGGTGGACAATTGAGTGGCAAGGACTAGGCGGCAATAACATCACAAAGGGTAAATTAACAATCCCCCTGTTATCTACAACCATTTGAGCTACTACTTTCCCGAACTTGGGATCACTGTTGCGCCCCAAAATGGTGTCGTTTTGCACTTTCAATTTTCTCTTCAACTCAAGTCTGGGGAAGCAGTAGCTCAAAACAGCACTGTTTTCAGGCACAGCAGCGACCCGAATTTGCTATTTCCCATTTTCTCCAACCGGACACAAACATGGAAGAGGCATAATTATGTCTCATTTGATTGAAACGAAAAAGCCATCGTTCGTGTGCAGGTACAACAATCCTTAAAGCTATAAAGCATACCGTTGATCCAACAACTGAAGTCGTCTATCAAGAGAACCCCAATGCTGACTTTGTCCAGTCCAGTAAATTCTCCTATGCCATTGTCGTAGTAGGAGAGCACCCATATGCAGAAACAAACGGTGACAGCTTGAATTTGACAATCCCTGAACCCGGTCCAAGCACCATCAGAAGTGTCTGTGGAGCTGTGAAATGTGTTGTCATCCTTATTTCCGGCCGTCCAGTTGTGATTCAACCATACCTTGCTGTGATGGATGCCCTTGTAGCAGCTTGGCTTCCAGGTAGTGAAGGACAAGGTGTTGCTGATGTTTTGTTTGGCAACTATGGTTTCACTGGCAAGCTTCCACACACTTGGTTCAAGACTGTTGATCAACTCCCGATGAATGTTGGCGATCCACATTACGATCCTCTCTTCCCATTTGGATTTGGACTCACCACCAAACTGACCAGGGCCAACTAGAAAGTACTTAATGGAATTCTAAATATGCCGCAGTTTGAAATTATTTATCCAAGAAAAATGTTATGGATACTTGAACTGCTAGCCTAGGAGGGAGTGAATAGGCTCAAAAGAGATGATACCAGCCAATTAAAGTTAAAATCTCAATACAACAGAAATTTGTTATAAACACGAGCAAAGAATTTCAACACATCATCCACAATGACATGGAATTATTATTATTATTTTTTGTGGAAAACCCTTTCAAGGGAAAAACCACAGGCACCTTTGTTAGATCAACATAATCTGCTATATCAAAGAAATTAATATAAAAGTTAAGGCAGAATGTCTTGATAGTGGTACCTCAAATGCAACACCACTAGAAATGATCCATGTGCGGCTCTTGTATTGTGCCATTTCCAGTGGTGTTACTCCGAGTTCCCATACCATTAGAGTGCCCAAGGGCAAGTCTTCGAGTGGGCATCATTTGCACTCAGCTCGAGCGCCTTTCAAGTGGAGTGAAGAGCGAGTGCTACCAGAGTTCAAATTTGAACTTCCTGAGTTGCACTGTTTCGATATTCTTTAGGCATTCATTATACAGAGCATGTTCTATCTACACCCAGTCTTGGTTACATAAGATAAGTAGCTGAATGAAAAATTATAATTTGTTGTTAAGGTGGGAAGACAATGTTACAACAAAAGAAAACAAGGATAGGCAAAGATTACAAAGACAGTGGAATCTAAATCAACTGAATCCTAACGTTGTAAAAGACAAGTCTTTATCATAATTTTATCAACGGTAGAATTAACCAAATAACAAATCTGTTAACTAATCTGACTAACCTGGCTACACTAGATTGACATAGTGAAACGTCACTGTTAGTGAGTTGGCTCTAGGTGGTAATTGTGACTGAGTTCCTGCAAGAACAAACCCCTTTACAGATTAAAATAAAGATAATAAAAATATACATGAAAAAAGTCGGGGCCTCCATTTTCTTGGATCCCTTCTGCCTAGAATTGCAATTACTGAGCATAAAATGAAGTTTCGTCCACTGTTACCTTGCACTGACAGTGCATATTGGAACTCCACTCTTCCAACTCCAGCACTCTGTTTGGCTACAGTCCGAGGCCCTCCAGCCAAGAGAGGCATGCTTGGTAGCAAAAAGATCATCTGGGCATTATGCTCAACTAGAATATGCGTGAAACTGTATCCCTCAACATTTTATTTATGGATTTTCTGCGACCATAGCACCTTTTTAACCAAATCTCACAATTTATATAATTTTTTTTTCGAACAAAGCAATATACAAAGGATAACTGCATGAGCAATAACCCTCTGCAGCAGTGTAATTCACTTGAAAGTTCCAACAGACAACATATATAAGTTCCAGAAGCAACCACAGCACCTCTGATAATTTAGTTTCCAGAATTTGGTTAAACTGAAATCCCAAGACAACTGAATATGCTGAACGTTGGGAAAGTTTCAGAAACAAGCATTGATCTAATAATAGGAAAGACTTGTGACACTTTACATACGAAATTACATTTGATATGCAAACGTAGCATACTGACATAGTATTACCTGCCTACCAGGGATCACATTAACGTTCAATAAACACTGCCTAGTTGCTTGATCATAACAACTCCATTGACAATGTGGCAAGAAAGGTTTGAACAACCGAACATCCTGTCCCATCCACATGGGAGTTCAAATGTTAGGATGTTTGTTCTATAATAGTAGTGTTTGTTCTATGAAAGCAGTACCATCTACCATTTTGAGTTTGCTAACCACTTAAGCATCCATCACCATAATGAAAGTTCAACAATTTCCGATTCATATCGAAAGTTCAGCCAGTATGACATATTGACGCAGTAAAACTTATTCCACATTTCATTGCTCAACAAAATTTCCCTAAATTCCTAATGTGAGTTGAACTCAACTGAAATGTTCACAAACTCTAGCTAGCTAACTTTTTGCAAATGCTTCAGTGTTCCCCCATTCGTTCTTCCTTATGTTAATATTTATGTACTTTTCTTCTTCAGCTAATTGCTGGTAAACAGTCTTTTTGTGCATATACAAAGGAGAAGGTAGAACATAAATTTTGTATACTTAGTGGAACTTGCAGAAAGCAGAACTCTGAAACAGTTTATTTATTCATCATCTCAAAAGGTATGGCATATTTTATTACACAAACATATAGATGTATGAAAACACAATATATTACAAAACAGATAGAGCAGAGCATGAAGCATCTACCACAGAACGCTATGCCACTTCAGCAGTAGTTACTTCAGTATCTTTGTGCTTCACAGCATTGACAGGATTCTCATTCTCAGCTTCTTTTATTTGTCTCATGATGCCTTCTTTTTTCTCAAGGAGGGATTCTATTTTGGCATTGATCTCCTCTACTTTCGTTTTCAGCTTGCTAATATCCTTGCCCTTGTACTTCTCAAGTTTCCTTTTCTTTTCCTTACATTTTTTCCCTTTTTCTTCTTCCTTCCCTTCCGCTTCCCCATCCAATTCTTTCACATTTTCTTCTGTTTCAATCTCTTTTGTGGAAACTCCATCCACACACTTTCCGCCATCTACCCCATCCTTGTGTTTCTTCTTATCTTTTTTCTCCTTATCTTTCTTCTTCTTTTTTACTTCATCTTCTTTTCCCTTCTCTTCTTCTGTTTCCTCATGCTCCTCTTTTCCTGTTATCTTCTTATCTTTATCCTTCTTCTCCTTCTTCTCTTTCTTCTTTACTTCACACTTTTCATCCTCATCTTCATGCTTCTTTTTCTTACCCTCTGCCTCCCCCTCCAATTCTTCCACATTTTCCTCTATTTCAATCTCCCTTGAAGTAACTTTAGCCTCAATTCCCTCTTCTACATCAGCTTCACTCTTCTTCTTCTTCTTCTTTTCTTTTTCTTCTTTTGTCTTGTCCTTCTCTTCTTCTGTTTCCTCATTGGATTCTCCATCTAACTTCACTTTGTCTTTAATCTTCTTCTTTTTATCTTTCTTGTCTTTCTTCTTCTCTTCATGTTTTTCCTCACCATCTCCATGCTTCTTTTTCTTTTTCGCTTTCTCTTCATGCATCTCTTCCTTTCCTTGTTTGTGTTTCTCTGCCTCCTTGACATTCAAATCTCCCTCTTTGCATTTTGTTTTTTCCTCCTCTTCTTCCTTTGAGTCCTTTTCTTTTTTATCTTTCTTCTTCTTCTTCTTTTCTTTATCCTCTTTTCCCTTGTCTTTCTCTTCTTCTGTTTCCTCATTGGATTCTCCCCCTACCTTCTTATCTTTAATCTTCTTTTCTTTCTTGTCTTTCTTCTTCTCTTCATGTTTTTCCTCACCATCTTCATGCTTCTTTTTCTTCTTTGCTTTCTCTTCATGCATCTCTTCCTTTCCCTGTTTGTGTTTCTCTGGCTCCTTGCCACCCAAATCTCCCTCCTTGCATGTTGGTTTTTCCCCCTTTTCATCCTTTTCTTTCTTGTCTTTCTTCTTTTTCTCTTTTTTGTCCATCTTAATATCTTCTTTATCATCTGAATCCCCAGATTTATCCTTTTTCTTCTTATTCGTCTTCTCCTCCTCTTTCTCTTGTACTTTCTCATCATCTTTCTTCTTCTCCTTTTCTTTTTCCTCGTCTTTCTTGCCTTTTTTCTCTTTATTTTTATCTTCCTTCGACTCTTCCACATCCTCTTTCACTTTTTCTTGCAATTCTTTATCATCTTTCTCTTTTCTTTCATCCCTATCTTCCTTATTTTTCTCTATTAGTTTGGTTTTCAATTTGACTTCCATCTCTGTCTTCTCCACCTTTGATTCATTGGGATCTTTAATTGTGCTCTCAACTTTGAGATGAAGTTCTTCTTTCTCCCCTTTCTCTTCTCCCTTAACAGTGGATTTAGGTTTCTCTTCCATCTCTACGCTGATCCTTCCTGTTTGATTGCAAATAATCTGAAAAGAAAGACGCAGAACATAACTGTCAAACTAACATAGAATTCACAAATTGCAAAGGAAGCACAAAACCATTTCACCATTTGAAGGTGGTCTAGAAATCAAGATGAATTTTCAAATAACATAGTATACACAAACAATTATAGGTTTTTTGAGAAATATAGAACCACACTTAGTACATTGTTCATGGTTACTGAATCATAAACTAAGGTTGTGTTTCCACACTAAACATAAAATAGGGATAATAAACTGCTTGTATCGACTTCTTGCGCAACAAATTGATTGATTGATTCTTCTAGGAAACTTTTTACTAAGATGAGCTTTTTCTATCCTTGTTTCAGTTTTCTAAATAGCCACTGTAAACAAACATAAATATGCAATGAATCAGTCGTATAATATTCAACTCAAGTACTGAGGACATGAAGAGACGAGAGATGGGTGTTGAATAAGAATAATTTCCTCTAGAAAAAATGGCAATGACAACCAGCAAAACAGTAAGAAGTTCATCTGAAAAATGTTTGAATCAAGTTGGGATGACAGTGAAAATACTATTGAACAACAAAATAAATGGTGAAATCATATCCAATATGTACATTGTAATTTATACAAACAAAAATGCTACTATCCCAAAAAAATCTTGAACTGGTGCAATGTGCAGTCCATGTTGACTATAAACGCAACTGAGCCCAAAACATACACAAAAAACTCGACATTATATTAGCAACAAAACACTCATACTCAAATAAATATTAGATAATAAATACGCATTAGTACAAAACACTAATTGTTGAAGGTAAGATCACAGTATTAAAGATATCAGAATATAAGGAAGATGATATCTTTAACACTATAATCTTATCTTCAACACTAATCAATACTTAATTATCACTACACACTACTTGGGTTGGTGGGTTTCTCACCACAAACCGTCCAATTATGAAATGAATCTGGCCCCATAGATTGATGTTTCTGGGTAAAATTCAAAGTAAAATTTATGGGATTGTAGTTTTACAACTTCTAGTAGTTCATATCCATTTCCAATGGATTTACTTTAAGATATCTATAAGACCATCTCCAATGGTTCATCAAATTTAAATTTGATGAAAAAAGTGACCTTTTGCTTCTCCAACAGTTCATTAAATCCAGGATTTCACTTCTCTTTCATCAAACTGAGGATCAATGTGCTTTTCATCGAATCACTGTTCAGTACCGTTGAATTTTCACCACTAGATGTCCCCCGGATGTCCTCTGTATGACCACCTCAAGGCAAAAATTTATGAAAAAAATTACACTGGCCGATTGACCGGTGATCTGATGAAATCACAAATTCCTCCGTTGGAACACTTGATATCAAAGTAAACTTTTACTCCAATTTTTACTCAAATTTGGTGAAAATTTTGATGCACAGTTGGAGATGCCCTAATATTCCCAATATAGCATTATGTAGATTTTTGATCAGTGGTTTCCTATTTAATCTCTACAGTCTGGCATTAGTTTCCCCATCAAATTCCGTCTCTTGTACATTGTGGTTGAAAAGGAAAAATATGATATTTGTAACCAGACGAATTTCACCAATTCTATTCACCTTCTACCTGTAATATATACATCAAATTCCACGTGTACAAGTAGAACCCATCATATCTAGAAAATAATGGTGGAACCCTTAGATTGTGTTTGGATCATGGATCTGTTTTCTTTCCCTCCATAAATCCATGATCCAAACACAACCATAAGAAACAATCAGTTTCCTCTATACAATTGTTTGATTTGATATATTGCTGAACTACATCAACATTAACTCCCTCCTAATTGTATCATAAAACTAAATTAAGAACAAAACAAAGCTATCACAGATACTATATTCCATCAAAAAACTGTAATCAATTCAATAAAATAAAATTGCAACAAATTCCTTAACACTTCTGGGTTCTTCAAAAATCAATCACATATTCATAAAAATGAAAAATTCTAAAACTTACAAGCCCACCCAGTTTCATTTCTTATCCAACAACTTTCCCAGCAACCAAACAGACCATAACCCAATATAAATAACACCCAAAAAAAAAGAAGAAAACTTAGATCAAATTGAAATTGAAAATGAATGGAAAAAGACTTACATGAGATCTAGCTTGAGGAGAGATGGCGGTCTGGAATGATCGGTGATTGGGAGATTTATTTATCTAGCATGTTGGGGGGAGTTGATAACGTTGCCGGTTGAGGACGTAATGGAGGTGACGCGTCTTGAAGTCGGCGAGTCCAGGTGTCGTGAATTTGTGGGGTTTTTTGTCGAACGCTGACGCGTACACCTGCGTGTAACCAAGTTGTCGGACATTGTTTTGTTTTGTTTTGTTTTTTTAACAGGTCGGTTCGGACATTGACCGGGTGTTTTGAAAAATTAGTAAAATGTTAATTTTTTTTGTTTTTTTAGTTTATTTTAACATTTTATGAATAAATTATGTGAAAAACGATGTAACTTAAAATTAATAAAAAATTAAAAATTAATTTTTTATCAGCACCCCAAAAGAGCATGCAGTAGCTATTGTGTTAAGAAGAAATACTACTAGTAACTATTAATTTCTTCTTGGTTAAGTAAGGAATTCAATTTCAATCTTTAAAAAAAAAAACAAAAAACTGAAATTCAATAACTCTAAACATAATAAATTAACAGGTCGGTTCGAACATTGAAGTAGTAGCTATTGCGTTCCAAAAAAAAAAAAAAATACTCTCTTCATTTTAAAATATTAATTTTTTATTTTATTTTGGGCAAATTACATAAATAGTCCTATAATTTGGGGCTTATGTCACTTTAGTCTCTGACTTTTCAATTGTGAGATCTTGAATTTTGAATCTTGTTCCAAATAAGAACAATTGAATATATAATAAGATTTTTCAAGGGTAAAATTGTCAATTTGATAAAATATAAAATAATTTGACAAAAATAAATATCAAACAAATATTTTTGAATTTTAAAAAATTATTTCTACCTACTAAAAATAAAATTATGTAAAATTGATAAATCTTTTATACATTTATTTTTTTTTTACCAAATTAATTTTTATTATGTGTTTGGATGATGATCATGTAAAATTAATTTTAAAAAATTAATCATGTAATTTTTATTAATTTTACATAATTTTCTCATTGGTGGATAAAAATAATTTTAAAAAAATTAAAAATATTTTTTTGACATTTAGGCCAAGTTTGGCATCTTTCAAAAAATCCAAAAAGTCAAAAAGTCACTATCCTATTTAAGTCACATCATCTCATTTAAGTCACATCACCTCTCTAACACATCACTTCAAACTCAACCCAAATTCAACCCATATTTCATAAAAAGTCAAAAAAATGCACTTATTTAGTCTTCCCAAACTTAGCCTTATTTTTGTCAAATTAGTTTATATTTTATCAAATTGACGATTCTACCTATGAAAAATCTAATAATATTTTCAATTGTTCTTATTTGGAACAAGATTCAAAATTCAGGGTCAAATGTGTCACAATTGAAAAGTGAGAGACCAAAGTGACACAAGTCCCAAACTATAGGGACTACTAATGTAATTAACTCTTTTATTTTTTATTGTCTCAAAATATTAGTTTCTTTTCAAAAATTAAAGATTAAAATAATATAAATTTCTTATTTTGACATTCTTTTAAATTTATTAACAATACAAAAAATATAATTATAACAATTGATACTCTTAAAAATATATATATATACTATTAAAGAATAATTTTGAAAATGTAATATTTTTAAAATGTAATAATTATACTATAAAAAAAATTAGATCCTTCAAAAGGAACTACTATTTTGAAACAAAGGAAATGGTAGCTATTAGTTTCTTCTTGGCTAAGTAAGGAATTCAATTCCAATCTAAATAAATGAATAAATAAAACAAAAGCAAAAGGAATTCAATAGGGAAAATTAGTCTAAGGTCCATCTCCCACTTTTAATAATAGAAGAGATCCACAATGTTATTTTATGATGTCTAAAATCCTTCAACCCTAAAGTCATTTTCTATCTACAATTTTCTTGACAAAGCTACAGTAATTCAAGGCAATGAGGATTTACTAGCAGATAAACAGACAAATCCATGGAGACTAGCAACAGTGACCAAAGTTGAGGAGACGAAGCTGGTCATAAACATCATTCCCATATGGCTAACTTCGCTGACATTCGGTTTATGTATGGCACAAACCTCAACTTTCTTTGTCAAACAAAGCAGCACGATGAACCGAAACATTAGGAACAATTTTGTGATCCCACCTGCCTCCATTCACACACTCTCCGCGATCGGAATGATAATCTACGTCACAGCCTATGAGAAGATTTTTGTTCCGGCACTCAAGAACGCCACCAGCAACGAACAAGGCATCAGAATCCTCCAGAGGATCGGCATTGGCATGGTATTCCTAGTTATAACCATGGCTATAGCGGCATTAGTGGAACGAAAGAGGCAAAGAGAAGTAGAGAGAGAGATTGTTAGAGTAGAGAGAGTCGGTTATCTGTCTATGAGCGTGTTCTGGTTAGCTCCTCAGTACATCATTCTTGGGATTGGAGATGGGTTTACACTTGTTGGCCTACAATAGTACTTCTATGATCAAGTTCCAGATTCAATGAATTTGTGTGTATACGTGTGGTATATATATGGTGTGTGTTTGGACTAGTGAATTGAATTTTTTTTTTTCATTTGAACTGAATTTTCTCTGGGTTGAAACCAGAGAAATTCTTTGGTTTTTTAACTGAATTTTCTCTGGTTGGTACAAAGAAATTCTTTGGTTTCGAACTGGAACCTGGAATGCTTAATTTGTGTAAAACCCAATGTTTGTAAAATCAAATTTTGAAACCCTCTTGTTGAGAAGAAGAGCAATATTGATGTTGTTTGATTTCATCTCTCATTCTCCCCAAAGAAATTTTCATCTAGAGAAATTCAGGAATTTCTTTGGAGAGAATTTCTCTGGAAAAAGCTAGAGAAATTCCCATAATTTGCTTGGCACCAAGAGTGAAGGCAAGCAAAGCAGTAAATCACAAAGTTATTTGTGAGAAAATTAGAGAAAATTCAACCCTAGAGAAATTTCAAAACATAGAAAATCAAAAAAATTGAACAAACCAGGGAAATTTCAAATTTCTCTGGTTTGAAATTTCTCTAGATGGAAATTTCTCTAGGTTGATATTTCTCTGGATCGATTTGAGGGACCTTAGACATTATGAAAATATTGAATGTCCTTTATACTATAAAATCTTAATATCAGGGACCCTAAAAAAAAATCCCCAATTCAATAACTCTAAACATAATAAATTAATAAAGGGAAAATAACAATCCATGTTTGGATATAAAAAAAAAAAAGATTCATGATAAAATTTATAAATTTTAATTATTAAAATCATAATTATTTTTATAAATATTTAAAGGTTTTGTTAATGTGTACTTTTAGGGCACATGATAAGGAAGTTTAAAAATATTGTACATCCTTTATTACACTCACTCTCATGTATAACGTTCAAATAAACAAGACATCTTAACATGTGCCCTAAGGGCGAGAGAGGGGTGGTTGCGGTGCAGGTTGCATAGCAACAACTGTTGTACAGACAAATTGGCCTATTTTGGGGCCCATTTCGATAATCTGAATCGTTCACATTTTAAAATATATCAAGTAGAACATACTTGCAAAAAATGAAGTTAATTGAATATCGTTTATCCTTTCATCCACTCACATTTGTATTCATTTTAATACTTTAAATCACAGTTGTTATTTATTTTTGTAGATACAAATGTGAGTGGATGAATGGGTAAACTATATCAAATTAACTTGATTTTTTACAGGTATATTTTACTTGATGTATTCTAAAATATGAACGATTCAGATTATCGAAATAGGCTCCAAAATGGTCCATTTGACTGTACAACAGTGGCGGCTGTGCGGGGTGCACAACAGCCACCCCAAATCCCCTTAAAACTTTATTTCCTTTCTATGTATGCCACTTGTTTTTTTAAATTTAAAAATTAAATGGTATGTATATTTTTTATGAGTAATGCTAGAGAATTTAAAATTTCATCCCTAATTTTATTGACAATGACATGACACGAGTTGGGTCTTAATTGATTGATTTTTAAATAAATCAATTGTCATGTAATATTCAACATCGTTGAGTATAAATTTAAGAGTTATATTTTAGGGGTCTTAATCATTTTTCAGTTTTTATTTATTGGATTACATTAATTATTAAAATAGCTTAAAATAGCCGTTTAATTGATTGTATATTGCGATCTAATCAATAGTTCAAAACTTTTAAAAATTAAAAAAACAACCTGGCTTATCTCCAGTCTGAGATCGAACTGGAGCATGATGTTGGGCTCGTAGGGACCCATCACGGGTCATGTTTCGAAATCCGAACCACTAATATGTAGAGCTTGTTGAATAATTTATCCCTATTAAAAAAATTACGTTGATCGAATATCAATAGCTACTTGATCGGATCAAATTTTTGTCAATGGTAAATATTATTTTCAAAATAAATTATTGACAAAAATCTTAACTGATCAAGTAACTATCGATATCTGATTAAAGTGATTTTTTACAGGGATAAGTACTTAATGGGCTCTATACATTAAACGGTTAGGATTATTGAAATAGAACTCATGGTGGGCCCCACAGGCCCAACAGTACCGTCCAATCAGGCAAGCCAAGCCCCTTGAAAAAACTATTGTTAGATCAATTTAATTTTCTCGTGAAATATTTTTTTCATAATGCTTATGTAAGAAATTACGTTAAACTAGTAATGTATCAAAATGAATTATGTATTTTATATGCATATGTGATAGCCCCTCTTAGATAAAATTCTTGGTTCCACTCTTGAACACACATTAACAAAACTCAATATTTAATTAGTTTAAAAATTACACGTAATTTGTAATTTTTTCATTAATAAATCACAAAATCTTTTACTTTTTAGTCACACATATTGGATATAACAGTAATATTTGTGAGTTTAGCTTATCTGCAATCTATTTTGTGTTTGGGTCGTATTGTTTGAGTCTATAGAACTCACAGATCTTGTTTTAATAATCTGAATTATTTATTTTTTATATCACAAACATGTAGATCATTCATAAAATAAATAAATAAATAAATAGATAAAGCTAACGGTTTCGATTTAGACCCGATCCATTTCATGCTCTTAGATCCAAGATTTTGTGTCTTTAATTTTTATTTATGCCCTTTATCATCTTGTCGGTAATTGAGTTGAGCTGTTGGTTATGTTTAAAACAAGTTGGGAG